TGCACGTAATAAAATAAACCAGTTTTGGTCAATAAACTAACTGTTCATATTTCATTTCTTACTGGCGATATATAATATAAATTCGTTTGATTTTATTTTATATTGTAACAGATATATGACGATTATTAATGGCAATAATTTTTAAAATATATTCATTTTTGTGTTTTAGCATTTTATTGGCTTTATTCAATATCAATTATTATTGTTTAGTGGATAGCGAGGTCTTGAAAACAAATGTTTTACGCAGCAGTGATAAATATACAATAACATTAAAACGCACATGATATCGATGCAATCAATATGTTATTTCAAATTGCATCACGATTAAAAAGTTATGACGTAGGATATTCGATATCTTTTTCTCTCTCGTTCTTTTTGCGAAATATATTTGTAATTAGCGGAAAATTTTTAGATGTTGGCCTGGCTTGCATGTCTCTTCTAAAGTAAATCATATACGTATTATTTGCACGCAAATGCAATAATCGATATTATTTAAGTTGCAAGCACATCCGAAACTAAAGACAATTTTAAGTAATTTATAATTTGCGATGAAATTTAAGATAGCTATTTATATAATAATTTTATGTTTCAAAATAATTTCTGTATTACATAACATACGAAATTATAACTAGAATTGTGTTTCGAATTTTGTCGCAAATTATAGATCTTCAAAATTTATTTTTATTTAAACACATGTAAAACATTTACATGTGAAATATATAAAACCTGAATGAAAACATATATATTTTGAAAAAAATATGTTGATGAATTTACATATATTGCTGGAGTTCATTTTCGTATTAAATAAATTCCCTAATTAACAACATGTGTTTAAAAAAATACTTTATATACTATATTCTACAATATAATTTTATAAAATTAGGGGTTAATTTTCTTTTTCTCATTATTTTTTTATGTAATATGTTGCTAAATATAATTTGTAAATTTATTAAAATTTTGCAGCTATAGAAATTTGCATGTCAAAATTGTTTTGCAAAACTAAAATGTTCGTGTGTTGCGGTTCCGTTTCTAATCATCCGTAAGTCCTATCATTGACTATAGCTACTGCTAGAAAAGAAACAACTACGTGCTCCGCAGTAATTAACTCCTACTAGCTTGTATGTGCAAAACGTACATTGGGCGATGGCAGTTATTTAGAGGTAATTTGCTAATCTAATTGACGGCAACTTTATCATGAAATCATTTAGATCTTTTCAATTCATTAAGTAAAGAAATATGTAATCTAACACTATATAAACAGAATATTAATTTAAAGACTCTATAGTAAAAATATTTTAGCATTATTGTTTATTAGATATTCGTCAAAATCTAGTTTATTGTTTAAAATCAAGTATTATTAATAATTTCTTTTTATGTTGATATTGTGTTCTTAAGAGAGATTTTTTAAATTTATATATATATAAATATAAAATATGTAAAAAATAAAAAAAAAATATATATAAATATATTAAATTATATATATATATATATATATATATATATATATATATATAATAAATTACAGGTGGAGAAAAAAATAATTTTTGGATTTGAATGATAAAGCTTGAGAAATAAAGAAATAATTATTTTGTAATGTTTTTAGGGTTAGTTTAATTGTAATTTGTTGCAAGTGCCACTTCTTCGATAGGGCGAGAGATAATAGCGGGATATATTCGGTCCTGTAGAGCTGATTGTGCAAACTAAGTTTGCTCGTCATTATCGCACTCGCTGTGTACTGCAGTTAAGCAACACCGGCAGTTTCGTTTACTCGCGCTCATTTCCGTTGCTTGTCGGAAATGTTTTTTGCATTTCGCTGGTTTCCTCCTCTTGCTTCTCGTAATGTTATGGTTTTTATTATTAGAGGCAATGTAAAATGATCGATAGACATTGTAGATGTCTAGTCACGCTAAACATTTTTTCTCAAGAACATTGCGGATTATAATACTTATATAAACTTTTCATTTGGACAAACAATTCAAAATTTGTCTGTATATTTTACAAAACACATTTTAACAGCTCTGAATATTTTCGTCTGAATATTCTTCATTTTTCTTTCATACATTTATTTATGCAGTAATTCATTGAAAACAGGAATAAAAAAAAAAAAAAAAAAATACGAAAGATATCAAGATATTTCTTAATAAAATAAATAACTGTATGATTTAAATATTCGCTGGATGAGAGAAAAAAATATGAATGATGTCACGATGGAATACACACAGACTGCATAATTCGCACGCGTATATAATTGCAGATGCGCGTGTAATATGCGAAAATGCAACGTGTCAAGAACCGAAGAGGTCCTATGACCTACTAAAGAATGAACATTTTCATGGAACGTACCGTGCACAGGGAGCTTTACGATTTAGATGTCGACGTTTGAAATGAGGGGCACGTCGCGCCGGTTTGCGGTTTTACTGCAACCGTTTTTCTCCTTCCTTCGACTATTTTCCCTCCCACATTTCCACCCCTTTATGCGCGTATCATATTTGTAGGATGCAATAAGTTGCGTTAGCTCCTCTCGTATTTCTACTCACGGTTGCTCGTAGCGCCGTGTATTATCATGGTAAGAACCAGGCCTGGCTATATCCTGTTGGGATCTCGAATGATCCTGACGCGAGCGAGTTAAAGCCTCCCTCGTACTATCGGGGATCGATTTGTTCCGGATATCTGATAGCGTAGAATTTCTTATATCGTGCAATGAAAAGCGTGGAATGTTAACGTTATACTGAGCTATAAAAAGTGGATGCAGAACGTTTTTTTGTTAAAAATATAATTTTTAGAAAATTGTTCGTTCGAAATTGAATTATTCGAGATATGATGTGTTCCATGGTTTTTACATGTGTTAATGATCATGATTGCGCTCATTGTATTATTAGAACATATATTTATAGTGCTATTTGGCTAATAGCACTTTGTCATCTCGTTAGTTAAACGACTTTGCTAAGTTCTAACATTTGTATCTCTGTCTTATGCAGACATCAAGATTTACACATCATAAATTAGCCACTAACGTCTTGCAGTTAAAAGCGTTTGTTTTCATCGCGGTTTTCATACATAGTGTTTTCCCGAAAATGGGCTAAATCTGAAGTTTCGTCCTACATACATGCACGTACGATGATAAATCTGCGTTAATATAAGCGAGACAATATAATATAGCGTTCACAGTGCCTCTATATGTCATTCGGAATTTCTGCTTTCATTCGCTTCATCTGTGAATGTGGTTTATATAACAAAATATATGATACTGCTATTTTAGTTTAATGTTTATATAACAGATGTATTTTCGAAATTTTCATTATATGGTCTGTTGGATTTTTGAGTATAAAATAAAAAAGAGGGTGGGAAAAGCACGGGCTTCAAAATTCGCGATAAATTAAATAAATAAATCAATAACAATTCAATTTGTTCTATAACATTTTCACGTGGAAATTAACACTTTTAAAAAATTGTATTATTAGACGTAAATTATACAAAGTTTTAAGATAAAATATATATCTCTTTTTATAATAATTATTTTTTTAATTTTATAATACCTATATTCTGTTATATCCTTTTTCAATTGTCGTATTTAATTAATTTGCAATTATTATAACAATGTTAATATATTATTTCGGGTTATTCAGTTTTCCGCAATTTAAGATGTTATTTGATATTAAATTAAATATTATTTGGATGAAAATATATAAATTAGATGAACTTGTTAGATTAAAAATTATATATTAGCCAAGTCAGGATGTCTTTTGAAGGAAGGGAAAGTACGCGAAAAATGATAGTCTCGGCTTCCTCATCATGAATACAAACGAGCCAATAGTCGATCGGGCTGAGCCCACTAATTGAGAAAGTTGATCGTAGCTTCGTTGGTCTTTTCTTTGATCGAGAGCGACTATTTCTGGTCGTAAGTCTTTTATCATGTCCTTTTAATTATAATTGGTTTCTTTTATAACTTGGCGAATGAGACATGCAATAGAAATGTAAAATAGATGTCTTCGATACCTTTGTAATTGAACCAGCATTATATTGTATAAAAAATATATACAATATAATTCTAAAATATTTTAAACTTTTATATACATATGCATTTATAAAATTTATATTTTTATTTCTATTATTTTTTTGTAAATGTATACTTTTGTATATTTTTTTAGAAATTTTATATTTTTAAGAGAAACTTCCCCAATAAATGTTATATAAAAAAGAAAAAAATCAACATTTAAAAATTGTAACATAAAAATTGTAATCCTGGATATTTTACTTTGCTACTAATTTAAGAAATTTTTCATTGATTGCTCTTAAGAATCAATTTATAATATGCAAATTATACTTCCGAGCACAAAAATAAAGTGGAATAAGAAAATGATATGTATTATATCTATCGATTTTGTTTACTTGTTTCTGTCTATCTTACGTTCTACTTATTTTCCTTTATTTTTGATTTTTATTCTATTAACTAGAGACGATTCTTATATAAGAAAAGAAAAAGAAAAATCATTAGCTCAAGCAATAAATCGTGAAGAGAAAACAATAAATTAAAATTTTTTTAATAAATACGAGAAAAACTGTTTACTTTTCTTTATTAGAAGTATAATATGTACATATATAGTTATCATATATATGATACATATTATTCTTGTTAATTGATGCTATCAAATTGAACAAACTAGCAATACGGAGATATTAGCTGTTACATAAAAATTTACATCTGAACAATTCGCGAGACAAATGCAAGGCGCATGCATCCACGATTTGCTGCATCTTTCGATCTCGGTCGAGAGATCACCCGAGCTGCGCGAACGAGGACGCTCGTTAATCACGGTAATTTGTTTAACATGTCAATTAATTATCGACTCTAGTCAACCAGACGTGCGCAAGTTTCAAAGAGCGCGAGTGAAAGCGAGAGAGAGATTCGTATTTCACGACGTGGCGCTTCGCTTTTTATCCCGACGCGACGTCATTGCATTTTCCAGCGGAACGGAACATTGAAGAAGAGCCTCACTTACCGATCGGGTGTATCAATGATGCCAGTAGCGGCAGGATCAATAGGAACGGGGCCATGACGCTTTCGATTCAAACGTCCATCTCGCGTTCATTCACGAGGCTGATCTGTAACAGGGAAAAAAAGGAAAGGAGCAATCGTATTAATAGTAGTACGCTTCTCGAATGCAGTGAATGCACCGCAATAGGTTCTTCATGTCGCCGCGACTGGCATTCATTATTTCGATAATCGATTAAGTATCGCGTCGGATGAACGAATCAATTCATCCACTCCCGTTTCATGCGCCAGCATCTGCCTTTCATCCTTTATCCTCTTGCTATCCGATGTATTTATTGCATTTTTATTGTGCTGTTTTGCGGAAAACAAAGTGCTCCGATTTAGCGTCGCGGACAAATTGTCTTCTATTTTCGACGAGATCGAAACTTTATACATATATACGATATGTAATATTTATTTTAATGCTCTATTTGTTGCGTGTGGTATTTGATTTTTATATATAAAATCATATTTTTGTATATACACATTTATTTAGCAAGAAACTATATATCAGCAAATAAACGTTGTGTAAAGTTATCTGAATTGTATATAAACTTATTTTGTGAATTTATAAACTTATTTCTAATATCTTTATACAGTGTAGCGTATTTTACATTTTACAGTTACTTAATGTTACAGTCTATAACCATGATTACAAATACATATATATATATATATGACAAGATACTGTTTAAAGAAGACTCGTCTTTTCTTTTTATACATATATGTTTCATGTCGGTTAATAACCTTTATATTAAATACAGCTAATACTTTGAAAACTTTTATGTGGGTATACTTTTACATGTTTGTTTTACATATTTAACGTCTGCCAAACGCTTGCGTTTCTAATTATCTCGGCATTTCGTATGCAAAACCCAGTTTGACCTATGGTTTTTTTATTCTAATCGCAATATTTGCTGAGAAGACATTTGCGTACGCGATGAAGCTCTCAAACTATGCAAACTCTCGTAAAAGTAGCGGTTTTTAATAGGTATCTCGTCGGTAATAATGGAGAATGAGAGAAGCTTGCTCGCAACACGTTCAACTTTACTGCGCTCGAAGCAGCAGAGCTATCTAATGTGGATATATATGTTCGTCGTTATTAGCTCAAAGGAGAAACGCGCGGAGGATGAGGGTCATTGCAGAAGGTAGAACAAAAGACGGATAAGGAGCATAATGGAAAATAAAGGGATTTCTAACGAGTCTCTCGCTTGCGGCTCTCTCTAACTTCCATCACCTTCGTCGAAATAGACTATATATGTATTTCTTTGACAGACTTATGGTTGACACGCATCACTGCGAGATCGACCGTAATTACATAATTAGTGATGGAATCAATTATATATGTATGCGACACTGATTTTGATTTAATTCACTTATCAAACATTCATTCAGGAAAATCGCATTAATATTGAAATGTACGGCATTTGACTCTGAAATTTGATATTAATGTATGTGTATAAACTAATAGAGTGATTGCTAATTGATACCGATCATGAAATATAATATATCGATAGTATCAACGGCGTTATCGAATGTTTTAAAGCAACAAAATAATCAAATAAAGACTTTTGAAAATCATTAATTACGTTTACAAAATTATCAATCAAACGCTTTAGGATAACCGATTCCTCTTCTTTTTAATTAAGAGCTGAATGAAGCCATGTGTGTTAGTGTTGTATAATCAAAATTATAGACTTCAAAGTTAATTAAAATCATAATTGGCATGTGTATTTATCGATACTTTGGGACTTCTGAATTTTTGTTACTAAAACAATAATAGATTTTAAAAATGTAATATATTATTCGTTATGTAAGAATTTTTAAAATATTTTATATTAAAAAAAAAATTGAAAGCTTTGACCGAACAATTTGATATTTTCTTTGAAAAGTACTGATATTATAGCTAATATAAAGTATCCAATTGATTATTAAAATATTAATTTGTTTTATTAATATATTACACAAATGTTTCATCCATCTAGTGTATTATCCTTGTTACTAATTATATCTTGTAACCTGTATCAAGCTATTTGTATCGATGGTCATGCACTATCCCGCTAACAGATATATCTATAAATGCGTTCCTGTGTCACGGACGTTGATCGACATCGACGATGTATCGACAATGTTAATCTGTCTCGCCAAAGGACTACATCCGCGTCCATGTTACTTGTGTCACACAGCGACGGCATCGTGCTGTAACTTAATTTCCATAGAATATATATTGGAGAAAGGATGCGATCAAGTTGCGACTATTTTTAATAGACTTGCTTGCGCGACGAAGTGAATTAGATGGAACTTTACACGTTCGAATGGTTAAGTGCTACAAATACTTATGCAAATACTATGATATGCTTTTAGATAGATTGAAAAAAATTATTAAGTTCATAAATATGTATTTCAATCATTTATTTCAAACAAATAAACATTTATCTGTTTTGAAAAGAATTTTCTTATGCATATCATATAAATATTTTTTCACATTAAATTAATATTATTAGTTGCAAATAAATGATTTATAAGGCAGTATTGAAATAAATATTTATTCACATTCAGTAAATTTTTTTTCAGTGCATAATTAGGAAAGAGATCTCTTAATGCAAAGATAAAAAATTTTGACAAACTTAATAATAAAATTGTTTTCCTCAAATATGTTTTTGGTCGTATATGAAAATTAGGTGCAATTATTTCCGAGACGATTTAAATTTGTTCAAAAAAAGATTGTTAATTATATTTATTACATATATACATTACATTACATTTAATATATATACATACATACATACATATATATATATATATATATATGGTATATATATATGTGTGTGTGTATGTATATAAAACTAATTTGAAATTTTTTAGTTAAAATTAAACCAATTTTTTATAAAGGTAAGATAAAAGTTAAAAAAAGAAATTACTAGAAATAAGAAAACATGAATTATTATATGAACGCGACATCAAGCACGATTAAATTTTCTCCGTTTCAAAGCGGGAATATTTGATATCTCCGCTCTTTGACGTTGCCTGAAAAATATATATTTTTTTGTGCACATTTACTAAATCTACTGGTCAAACATTTATCTTGATATTTTACATGTTAACCCAGATTACAGAACCGGATTTACTCAGGTCTACATCACAAACCGTGGAGGACCCATCTCGAATTACGCAACCGCGAACGAGACCTATATCGATCGGATTGATTTCAGCGTGAAGTAGCTTTATGCAGCTCTGCTTCAGACCAGCCGAGCGAAAATGCACTCCGCATTACGGGAAGATAAAAATAGCACGTATTATATAACATTCTAAAAAAACGCAGCTGATATACAATACGGCAGGTCGGATAGCCGAAAGGTGATTCTGTAAAATTTTCTTAAATCTTTTCGATCCATATTTCATAGCAGAGACGCATATGTTGAGCATTATTTCTACTTTCGCTGGTGTCTTGGCTGTTCTCCTTCGGTCGCTCTCCCTTTATCCTTCGAACAGCTTTTTTGCTCCTATTTCGAATGTCCGAGATGATAAATAGTTAGCTTTACCAAGTTGTTCAAGTCGTAAGGTTTAGAAATTATTAGCCTTGCACGTTTTCTCAGCAAGAACAAAGAAGGAAAGAAATCGGTGGTATTTCTCTCGCTGTAACATTTTCGCCAACTTTATATCCTCTTGCCTCGCTCAACGAAATTTTATATAATTAACGAACGCGCATTTACACCTCTACGAGTTAAATTTTAGTTTGCGAACTTTTGCGAAGAGAAATTATTTGATATTATCGTAATTTAATAAGTTAATAAATTTATTATTATTGATTAATGGCGTTGATTTGCGGCGTGAAGATAATTACCATCATTCCTAAGTTAATTAGAATTTGATGCGTATGTAATTATAATAATAAATTTTTATAAATTTATTAATTTTAAATGCGATCAGCATTAATTAACATTTCATGTTTCAATTTAATGGAACGAAATTAGTGAACAGTCGATGATGATCTCTAACAATAGGTACATAATAGTCTGAAATAAATCCTATATTTAATTTGGATTGAAATCGCATGTTTCTACACACTGTGTGCATGAAAGGTTACTGTCATAATTAAGACCTTTGTCAATTATGTATCTATATGCATATAATACATATTAATTTAGTATTATCTATATAATTTTCGACAAATCCTACTGATTGATAAATTCTCTTTTAAGCTAAATAAATAACTTCAAACAATTATAGTTAACAATCAATGAATGGTTATTTGTGTTAAAATTTTTATAATTTTAATTAATTGAATTGTAAATAATTTTTAAAATTATTTAATTATATTTTTCATCATTAATAATAATATATAAAAATTTTTTATAATTTACAATTTTGATTTAAATTCAAATATTCTAAATGTTAAGAATTATACTTAAAGAGATATATTTAATGTATTTGTATCTTTAATTTTTATATGTTAAGTTTTGATGAGAGGAAAAGCTTCGTGATTAAATATTTTATGTTTGTCACCTGAAATTTTTGTCATTGTAGAGTTCCATAGATGTATAATATAGAAACGGGAAGATACGTTCGTATAAAGAAAAAGTTTGAACTTCACGATCGGCCAACATTAATGGTCGATAGGAAATGGCGTCGTAAAATTTTGGCTGAATCGGGTTAGCGCCGCGCGATTTCTCGAGGGCGATAAAACTATTGTATTTCCTCGCTGTAGGATGTCCGGTGTCGATTCTTCATGGAAACTAAAGGGCGAAACACCCGGGAAATTCCCGAGATGTGCAAGCGCTGGAAGAAGAGAGAATTCGCTTATCGATCGGCAGATGCCTGGCAGGCTTTGCGTTAATAATTCGCGAGTGGGACACGATAAATGCAAATCGCACGGAGACACTGCATGAATATTCGCGACTCGTCGCGGGCGCGATTTACAATCTGCCAGATAAGATACGTATTCTTTGTGTGCACAGAACGATCCGAAGGTGATGTGTTCTGCACCGGGATTCGCGTTCGCTCGGTTGTGTGTCAAATTCAACTTTAATTAAATATTTTAATCAAAATAAAAATATTCATTATTAAATAT